TGAAGGGGGCCTATAGGGATGCTGGGGAGGGACTCTTCATTAGAGACTGTAGTGACAGGACAAGGGGTAACGGGTTAAAACTTAAACAGGGAAAGTTTAGATTGGATATAAGGAAGAAATTCTTTCCTGTTAGGGTGGTGAGGCACTGGAATGGGTTGCCCAGGGAGGCTGTGAATGCTCCATCCCTGACAGTGTTCAAGACCAGGCTGGACGAAGCCTTGGGTGAGATGGTTTAGTGTGAGGTGTCCCTGCCCATGGCAGGGGGGTTGGAACTAGATGATCTTAAGGTCCTTTCCAACCCTAACTATTCTATGATCTCTGCTTTCTGTTCAGCAGAGGATTTTCATAAACTTCTCGCAGCAGTTCATGCTGTAGCTCTAAGTGCTGACAGTTGCTTTCCAGGCCTAGTGGAATAAGCAACCTCACTCTTCTATCTCAAATTGGTAGTTAAAATAGGTTGGTGTATGACTTCCGTGATGTTGCAGCTCTTTGGATGGATCCAAAGGAGAGATGATGCTAAGGGGCCAAAGCAAAAATTCAGTGCTAGAGCTGTCATTGACTAAAAGTTAAATGCCTGATATTTAAGTCATGTGAAAACAGTGCTGTGTCACTTGTTTAAAGAGATAGGTTGTGTGTCCTTCCTCTGAATACACATGTCCTTCCTCTGAATACACAGTGAACACACTGGACAACAAGCCCTATCAAACTTGGCAAATGTTTCTTTAGAGTCTGACTTTATTATGGCTGGAGATAATAGTGGGCAGGCAGCATAGAGGGGGAAAAAATGACTCTACTGCTTGGCAAGGCTGCTTTCAGGGATGGCCACTGAAAAGGTGCTCACTATATATTTTGGAGAGGTCTAATTTTGTGGAGGGCCAGCATAAAATGATACAGGAGATCAGAGTATGCAAAGTCAAACAACTTTACTTAGTGATGCCTACAGTGAGCTCACAAGTCCTGCCGGAGTTTTTAAGACAATAGTGTTCCTAATTTTTACACTTCAGAAAGTGCTGCTAAATAAGGTGCTTCAAGGCTTGTTCTCCTCACTGTGTATCCATCTGCATTATTCTTGACTTCTTGACTGGCTAGCTCTGGCTTTCTCTTCCTGGCCTATACTTTTTTTTCCCAGGAGGCTGATGAGCAGCCCAACAGCAATCTCTGAAAAAAACCACACTTGTATTGAAAGCACCAAATTGCTTCTAAGCACGTCTAATCAAGCCTAATCACTCTGACATATCATGCTTTCCAGAGTAAGTTCTTGCAGTTCTCTAATCTTCTGATTTAATGTTTCTGTGCCTGGTTTCAATGTGAACACTAATTTCATGGTTCTCTTATGAACTGGACACAAATCTGTTAATTTGTGTCTCTGGCAAGATTTGTATTACTTCTACCCGCAACCTGCCAAAATGAACTCTTGTTAGGCACTCTAGTCACCCTTTATCTACAAATGTCTCTGCGTTCTGAGTATCTTATTTTCTTCTACCTACTAAGTGCCCTACTTACATTTCCCAGGCTCAGATGAATGACTTTTCATATTGCATTCCAATGAATGTTGTTCAGGTAAGCGTATCTGTTAAAGTAGTCCAGATCTCAGTGCACCACTATGTGTTTACACTTTCAATTTGTGGTGTTCATCACTACCATACAACCAGTTGTAGAGACTCCTGTAGAGGGCTCAAGACTGGAAAGCAATGAAGTGAGGTCTTTTGGAATGTGTTAAGCCTTCTGCTGGATCTTCCCTATAGATATTCCTGCTCCTTATGGATGTTCCTTCTGGGGGAGTTCAATACATTTATTTCTAATTATTCTAATGCTAGACTGATCACTCTTATAATTACTGCTGGCTATAGCTACATCAGGAAAAAGTACAGTTCTGTAAATCAAAATACCTGATGCTGAGGGCTGTGCTCCCACTATGTGGGTTGTATGTGTGTGTGGTTTGTATAGATTAGCTCTTGCCTACTCTCATGGACTTTCTCACCTATGAATTGTGGAAAGTATAAGGTATTCTCCCATGGTGCTGCCTCTGTTGGTCCATATGAAAACTTCAAGCTCAAGTCATAGTGCAGTACATGGAGACAATATGCTTCAGAAACACACTCTGGGCTCTAACGCATTTAGCATCATCAAAGCAAGAATCTACATTAGTGCTGGATCATAGATCAACACCTGCCAGACAGACTGGGAGATTACTGCTGCCATTAATGAAGTTAATCTGCATCTGGAGAAGGCATACAAGGATGTGGAAGATTTCTATCTCTTTGTTAGTTAATGGGAGAAGCTTACAAAGCCATTCTTCTAAACAGATACAGCTACAGATAGGAAAAAGGAAAACATTCCCTGTTCATGTGCCTCCAGTTTGATCTTTGAGAGGTCTTAACGTGATGGCAGAATCCATTTTTAGGTAATGACTAATTGGGCTTACTATGTTTAGTGTAGTGATCAAATTAATAGCAGGAATGACTTTTATTTGGTGTGGGGAGGGGTGAGAAAGGCAGGGCAAACCCCTCCAAATTATCTGCTGTATACTGAAGTTATGCAGAGTACTCTGAGACAGCTCTGGAAACAGGGACTATGTATTTCAGCTGGTAGTGTGCTGTGCAGTCACTTAATGAAAACATACACCTACCAAGAAAAGCAAGTTACTCTGCCCTTGTGGAAGAGGGGAGGGTTAAATACAACTGTTATTACTGCTGTGTAGTTTTTAAAACAAAAAAAAAAACAACACCCCACTAGATGGAAATATTCTATCACTTGACTGAAAAGGCTAATGCCAGAAAGCATCCCTGAAACATGCTTAAAAGCAAATGGCAGTAGAAGTAGCTGGTGATGCTTTTCAAGTCTTTCACAACAGGGGAAAGACTCAGAAGCAACGCTGAACTGACAAGTGGAACCACATTAGTCAAGTAAGTTTTCTAGTGTAACTTTTCAGAAATACACTCTCAAACAGCTACTATTCCTTATGATATGCTGAGTACAAAATGTAGGACTGCACCCTCAAGAAGTTAGCTCCCACACTAGCTTTACGGTCATGTAACTACTGCTTACTTCCAGAAACTGAGAAACAATACAGCCTTTTTCTGCAACCTCTTCAGTTAGCAAAATCACAGCTCAAAGCTGTGAGTCACTAGCAGCAGTATAGACAAATAAAAAAATCTAGCTAGGTTCCTTTTCCTCCTCTCCCTTCCCCCTCACTTGAATATGCAAATATTTCAAGATCAAGTATTCACACATCAGTTGTTGACTTCTGTTTCTGTGGCACTTTTACAGTTGGGGTTTGCACAAGCAGTGAGGTGTCTGCATGGAAACAAGCTAGAGCCGATGTGGCCTTTGGATCTGTATCTAAAGCTCCCTCCCAGTTGTCTGAACCAACCACAAGTTGGGCTGCCACTAAAATCGCCTTCGGAGCTGCTCCAAGGGATGGGCTGCAGACTAGGTAAGGTAGTACAGACAAGTAAGAGAAACTGCTGTGCATAAGGAATGCTCACGTGGAACTATATTGTTAACAGATAAGCTGCACTCACCTGTGCTTACTAAACTAAGGCAGGTAGAAAAGAAAGGCCAAGTGCCTTAAAAGCCATGTTGCTAGCGAGGGCATGTGTGGGCCTGTCTCTTTGTGTGAGCTCCAACACTTAAGATGCCTTAAGTGTAGTGAAAACAACCCCAGCATCAGCTCTTCCTCCTGCTCGATTTTTATGTTGTGGTCACAGCTGCAAATGTAAGGATGTTATTTTGCTCCTTTTGCCCCTCTGGCGTTGAGTCAAAACCCAGAAGTTTGTATTAGAAAAGTGGCCTGGAAAGTACTATATTAACAGACATGCAAAGCCTCTGACTTCTGGGGAATAAACAGCTTTGAAGGTAAAATATGTGCAGCAATAATCCATGCACACTTCATTAATTTCAAAACTGCAACAACAAAGTACTTCTTAGAAAAAGCTGTAAGATACTAATGAAGGGTTTGGGGTTTATTTTTTTCTTTTAATCCCAAAAGCTCCTTATCTCCATTCTCCATGTTTTTTTGTTCAATTTACAGTAGTCTAAATTCAAGCTCATCTAACAAAAAAATGATACATTAAGTTTGACTAACACCTTTGCCTCCCCCCCCCCCCCCCCCGGAGAATCCTTTTTTCCCCGGGGAATAAATGCAACAACTTTTAAAATAGCTTACATTGCCTGTTTAAGATGACTTTTCTTTGTGCTTTGTGTTTGATGGAATTTGGCTCATTCTGGATGTTTCAGCACCTTAAATTATTATGTTGAGATAAAGAGGGCAGCAATTCTTGTCAAGTCTTAACAAAGACAAAAAGATCTCTAGGCATTAAGCTGCCAGAAAGGCAGTTATTTTGTTATCTGTCAACACACATGCATCTTTCTCTACCACACCCCTGTTCAGGTTTAAGTACCCTTAACATGGACTACTGCACAATATGAAACATCAGTTTACTGTTCAAATTTGAGTTAAAGCTTAGACTCAAAACAATGAGTAAGTGCAGTTCAATGCTGTATTTAAGTGCAGTTTTGAGTTACTGCTGAAAGGGGTACTTATGCCTCTTTCCCCCTCCCTTCTGCTAGCCTGCGCAGCTTCAGTATATGCCATGCCCAGGAAGCCATAATGCACTAGAAAACCAACTTTCAAAGAGGCAGTTGATCCCTAAATCTGATACAAGAAGCAAGATGTACAGCTGCGCAGTGGAATAGGGCCATCTTGCTGTCACAGCCTGCTATTACTCCAGCCCGTGAGGCTAGCCTAAGTGGGGAGGCTCATTTTTTCTTTTTGTTTGTTTCAGTTCAGTTTATCAGTTTCACTCCATTTTAGCACTCCAGTTTATAAAAAAACTGGCTCTAAAAGAAGCAATCCAGCCCACTCTCATAACTCATGCTCTCTCCTTGCACTTTAAGAGTTCATGTGAATCAGCAGTAAGTAGTTAATTTGAGTGAAAAGCAGCTAGGCTGGGAGGCAGGAGGAACTGGACTTACCAATATGAAGGCACAGGGGTAACGTTATCTGCTCTACTGATGAAGCTAGTCTTAAACTGGAGTTTCAATCTTCAGAGAAACACAGCAATTTCTTTTCTTTGCAGCGTCAGAATAAACACGCTTGAGACAACTTGACCACTTCTCAGAGTCGTGCCTGAATGACAAAGCAAATCTGACTGTAGTTTTCTTACCGTGTGAAAGTTACTGCAACTGACTTGCTTTATGCTTGCCCTGCGTAAATTCCCACTAGCTGCACTTCTTGCGCTGGGGTTTCCACAGCACAGAGTACTGTGGGCCTGTCCCTGTTCTAAACATTACCTCAGCCCCAGGGATGTTAGTTGCCGTGGCCTTCTGGGGCAGAAGTGATGGCATCCTGTGCCTCCTCCACCTCAAACCCTCAAGAGGAGCTGGCAGTGCTCTTCTGGGCAGCACCGGCTCTGGAAATAGTATTTAAGTGTGTGAAACCAGCGTTAGAAGTGCAGGTCTTTGCAGCAGCTTGAGTATTTTCTGTGTATCCGCCTTTGTTTGTATTTGTTTGATAGATTTGTCTCACATCCCACCTCTAGAAGTGGTGAGATGTACTTAAAGTGCAATTACCATTAACACGCTCCTGGTAATTGCACGGCGAGGTGTAATTACTATACTCCTTCATCCTCTTACGCCTGTCAAGACTGCTGCGGCCACCTCGCTGCAGAGTTTCCCTCACCGCGATGCCACATGGTTAGTGCCAGTTTTCGCCCCACCACCTCTGTTAAGTGACCGCTGTTCCCCTTGCCACCGCTGCCTCCACAAAGCCACCGGGGCCCTGTCGCGCCCACCCCGGCTCCCGCCCTCCGCGGGCCCCGGCTGCTCCACAGCCCCCTCCCGCCCCACGGCCGCCATTTTGTGCAGCGCCGAGCCCGCCGGCCCACGATGCCGCTCCCTCCGGGGAGGGGCGGAGGAAGAGATGGGGGGAACCGCGGGGCCCCGCCGACCGGTCGTGCCCGCACCGTGGGCCCGCCTACCCCACACCACTCACGGCAGCGGCGATCGGCGGATCGGCTCACACGGGGGCCGCCATTGCCGCGGCTGCGATGCCGGCGGGGCGCGGCAGGGGGCGCTGCCGGGCGGTGCTGTGCGCGGGTGCGGCTGAGGGGAGAGCGGGGTGTCGGGAGCGCTGTGGCGGCGGCGCTGCGCTCGGCCATGGTTAACCCGGGGACGCTTTGTGAGGGTGCAGCTCCTCGGGGTCAGGGTTGGGGGTGCCCTCGGCCTGTGCCTCGCCCTTCTCGCCTGAGGTGGCGGGTGCCCCGCAGCAGCGGCTATGGGAGTGAGCTGGGGGAAACCCGTGAGGAGGCGGCAGCGGTTCCGTGCCGAAGCGCAGGGTTCCGTGTAACCCACATCCCCTCAGTCAGCTCAGTACTGGTAATGCAGAGCACCCCTGAACTTGCGTCTTTTTTCTGCCATCAGCTCGCTTTTGTGGTGTTCCACTATTCTTCCGGGCCAAGCCCCAAACCAGTGGATACTGTAAAACCACCCTTATACATTAAAATAAAAAGCCCAACAGAATTTCTGTGTCTTTCCAGCAATCCCCAAAGAAAACTCTCTGGATCTAATCTGATGATGTGATTCCACACCCCGATACGCTTATTAAACTTAATTACTGCTGTCCTTCGCTTATCTTTTTCATTCCAAATTTATCCCTCATTGTACCACATAAACTGGTGTCCCTGCCAGAGTTTATCCAAGCAGGCTGTCACTGAGCTCAGCGCTTAGGCTGTAGCGTTTGTGAAGTGTGTGTGATTGCTGCTGGATTACAGGATCCTGAGCCTTGGCTCACGGGTTTGATTCATCTGAAATTAAACAATGAGTGTACCAGTAATTTCAGAGTGCTCCCTGTTCCTCAGTGCCTCACGCTTGCCTTGGTACTTGCTGTACAGCCTTCCTGGATGAGGAGTTGAATCAGGCATACTCAGGGCTGTTGCCAAGCCAGTTTGTTCTCTTATCCAAGTAGTTTCCAGCTTCTTATTTATGCTTTTTGGCTTACCACTGTGATTTAGTGCAATGTTATCTGCTATTGGATTCTCCCAAATAAAACTGTCTATTCCCATGGAGGGCTTCTAGTAGTTGCCAGTCAACTTCTACCATCAGAGCGACGATTACGTTGTTTTGCATTGCTCCCTTGTGCCTGGCAATATAACTGACAAGTGAGAGGTTGCAAGGTTGTAGCTGAAGTTAATTAATACATCTGCTTGCTAGGACTTGTAACACTCGTGGGACTGTGGAAGGTGGGAGTGGGGAGAAACATGGTCTGGAAAGACAATCAGCAGAGCAAAACAATGTGCAGATATGGCCAAAAACCCACAGACAATGAGAAATACAGGACAAAAAAGGGAGCGGGTGGCCCAGCCTAGTGGAAACTTCTTTATGCTCCTAAGAAGCCCTGTTAAGAGGATGTTTTGCATGCAAAGATGCAGGTTTTTAAACTTTCTTTCTTTCCTTCTGCCTTTCAACTAATGTCCCTTCTTTGTCTTTACCTTCAGGGGTGGTCTGACTCCTACATATATCTAATTACTGTCTAAAAAATCTGTTTCATACATTTCAGACCTGAAGAAGGATTTTGTGCCAAAAGCTTGTCTGCGGTTCCCAGCTATGCCTGTGCTGGCCTAATTACCCCTGCAGCCATTCTCTTTGTGATTTTACAATGGTGAAAACTATACAATATCTATCCAATTCTGGTGAAGTTTTATTGGTATTGAAAGGTACTAGTCATTTATAATACTCTCTCTGCTATTTCTCATATGAAATGAGAAACAGACTGTGTAAGACATCGATACGCAAGTGAAGCTATGTCCACACTGGGGGTTATTTGTTGCTGCTTTTTCCAAGGTTGGAATTTCCCCCTGCCCACTGTGACTGCCCTGGGGACCCTAGCTTCTCCTGCCATGCCAGCAGCTCATCTCATAGCCACAAATGATACCTTCAGAGCCCATGTTTCCTTCCATCTCTGGAGGAAATGCTCTCCCCTCAGCTCCCCAGGTCTGGAGTTCAGTTAAATGTTGGGTTTGTTATCTAGCTACCTGAATAAATCAACAAACCTATGGCAGAGCAAGCTCAAGGCTGTATACAGGGATCAAACAGCAAGTAGTTACCTTACTCGTTTAAGCTAACCAAACTCCACACTGTGGTGGGAAGAGGCAGTTGTACCTTCCTGTTCGGCTGCTTGTTGTCACTCGCACCTGGTTTTGGGAGCTGATTCATCCAGAAAGTAGGGGTTTTTAACTTTTCTACAAGGTTAACGATGAGATCAGACAGGTCCCGCATCCTGTGGAACATGTGGCTGTACAAATGGGAGCAGGGTTACTGAATCCAAAGGCTCTGAGTTACATCTGCCTCTGATCGCTCCCATATGCCTTCTTTCATATGTTCTGCTATTCGCTATGGTTTCCTATCATGTGCTAATTGATTAATTACTTTATGCTAAGCATAGTCACGTGCTAGTCATTAGCAGTCCCATATGTTGAACTCATGTATATCTTTAAATGCCATATCTCCTGCCCTGCCAATCCTCCTTTAGGCAATAGCACACATATGTTGTAGATCTTCATGCTTTGATGGACTTGAAAATGCCTGCTCATTAGTCTTGTATGTAGTACTTCAGTTACTCTCTGGAGCTCCTCCTTATTGCAGTTGTGTAATGACTATAATTAAAACTGCTGATACATAGATCAGTGCTTTAGCTTGTGGTAATATGACATCTTAAAAGGGGAAGAAAAGAATTCTGAAAAAAGCCTGCGACATATTTGAAACATCCTGCATAGTAATGTCAGTATAAACCCCATGTTCAGATGAAGTTATATGTCAGACCATGGAAGTTTTGCATGAGTTTAAACTTGATAACTGGCTCAGAAATTGTGACCCTGGAAAAGCCAGTTTGCTGGGAGGAGGCAAAGTGAGTTCCTGAAATCTTGCTGATGAGGAAGTTAGCGGATGAGCAGGAATCGGTGGGAATAGATGAAAAGAAGGGCATGTTACTCTTACAATCGCAACCTGCAGGATTTCAGAATAATGGATTGAAGGAATCTGGAGCTGCATTGAATTTTCACATTTTAGAGGAAGAAGACAGGCTTCTGGGATTGCTACTTACACATAGCATGGCCCAGGTTTTGCCAGAAACAGACTGAACAGACTGAGATGCAAAAGAAAATAGTTACTGATTTCCCCAGAGTTATTTCTACTTTATGTTGGAGGTAAATGAGTACAGGATTTGATCCTTTGTTCCTGTAGTCCCAGTGTGACACCAGTTTAGATTCTTTCATAGTCTGTAAATGCCCAACATCAGCATAGCATAGAATGACCTGTGTGATTCAGATGGGTCCTCATTTCAAACACTGTTTATTGCAGGAACGACTGGCCTGGGGGAGAATAGCTGTGTCTTTACAGGCTCTTATCTTCCAAGCCCTGAAAGAGGCAGCTGGAAGTCCTGTTGCATGTAGATAAGAAACAAAGTGAAGAAGCTGGGGTAAATGTGGCTCTCCATGGAAAACCTAGTGCTTCAGTACAGTATGCTATAGGCCAGGAAGCAATGCCTGTAGGAAGTGAGACGGTCTTGAGTAAGAGCTTGTGTAACACATGTCCTGAGCTGTTCCAGCAGCTCCTTTCTGTATACTGCCTGTTCAGGCACAGCCAGGCACGGAATGATTTCTTGTCTACTTGGCTGTGCTGAAATTCCTGATTTTCTGAGCCACGGGCTCAGTCTGCAGCATAAATCCTAGGGATGCAGCTGGGTGGACACAAGCACTGCTCATGTACCACGTCTGTAAGCTTTGCATGACTGGGCTCTGTGTAATGCTTGGCTGGGGTGACCGCTGTGAGGGGCTTAACTGGGGGTCTTGCACAGGTACCCAGCGAGGTGTCAGCCCCTTGCTAAACATGTGCAGCTTTCTTGGTGTTCTCTAGGTGACAGCTTCCAGCCTCAGTGCCTGCACCAGCCTTTCTGCAGCTGCTTCTGGCTATAGCCCGCCCCTATAGTGTCCTTATTGGATTCCAGGCCAAAAGGGGTGTTGCTGCAATGATAGCGACAGGGCGTGCAGTGAATTGATACGGTGGAGCTGCAGAGCGTTGTATAAGAAGGAGCTGCAGGGAGCAGCGTTGAATTAAACAGGATCACGTTTCTTCTCTGTGAGCCAAAGAGGTTAGTGACTATTACTTAATCCCTGCTAACTGTAATTAGGATTTGGAAGCACGGCTTTCTTCTTCTGACCCTCCCTCCACCCTTCCCAAGATTGCTTGCCATTAGTGCTTCCCCCTCGGTTTGTGAAGGAATGGGGGAGTCCTACAAGTCACGTTGTCCTAACTGCTCCAAAGACACCCACCACACTAGAGAGGACTGTCCAGCACTTAGGTGGGGGGAACAGAGAGAAGAGGGGGGAAAAAAGGGAAAAGCCTTTTGTTTGTAAGAATGTCCAGAGTGCAGTGAAGCATTGTATTAGCTTGTAAGTGATGTGGAACAGACGAATAGCATCATTAAGTGTCCAGAGCACTGTGTGGTGAAAGGTCATTTAAAACCTTTCCTACAAAGTGTCTTCTGGGCTTGTTTTCAGAATTGCTGAGCTTCCTCCAAATCCTGTTAAAATCCATGTTTACTGCAGGTGTTTGACACCCCCTTCTGAAGCAGCAGACCATTCACCTTGCTGCTCCTCAGTTTGCCCATGTGTGAAATGCGGATGAGAATGTATACCTTTTTTAAAGAAATGTGGTGGGGCCATATTCCAGACAGCCTTTGGTGGCAGAAAAGTGACTAGTACAGAATTGGCGTGTAAAGCACATGGACACTTTACTAGTAATTACTTTATGCTGTAGTCACAGCTACCACCAATCTCTAACTCTCTTAAAAACCCCACGTACCAAGGCTCAGTCTACACACAGAGCAAAGACAGGCTCAGCCTTTATATAACTCCCCTGGCATCGTGCTGAACTTCTGTGTTGGAGCTTGATCAAAAAACCCAATCTACTGTTAATTAGGACAACAGTTTATTGAACTGATTTTGTGTGAATCATTTTTATCAAACTCTTTGCATTGCTTTGCCAAATTAATTTTCCTGGAATGAAGATAGTCGTTCAGCTGTTGGTTCTCTGGTTACAGATGTGAACACAGATGACACTGTGTCAACAATCAATAACTTAGTGCTTGAGCATCTTTTTTGTCATTTGTGTTGATAAATGGGACAATAAAGACAAATCTGTTTTAATAATATAAATCCAACTTGAAGTTTAATCATCCCAAAATAAAAAGCAATAGGTAAATATTTAAAATTGTAAATAGTTAAAATTATTTTCACATATAAGAATGCACATTTAAGAAAGCCTTAGTTAAAGTGTTACTAAAAACTATTGTCACAAGCACTGCATGCAACTTAGATATTCAATAATCGATAGTAAAATATTAGTGATCTATATGATTCTTCCTGTTGGATCAGAGAACTTGCCTTACACTGAAGGGTTGATGACTCCAGACTTGTCCTCCTGAGTTTATATCCACATGGTCAGTAATCTTTTTTTTTCTAATGCCAACCTCACAGTTTCTTTAGACAGCGAATTGAGTTACTGTTTGTAAGCAGCTGGAGTTTGAGTCAATGAAGTATGGTTTACATTATCCCTAAATGAACGGTAATGCTTACTTTGTAGAGCTAAAAAGGAGAATCAATCCTTGTAGTTTTCAACTTCGTATGCTTAGCATCCTCAGTATTTTCCAAATTGTTGTGCTCACTGGATGTTTCAACACCTGTTCCTCACTTCCTCCAGAATTCCCCAATGACCCTAAAAGATCATGTTCAGCTCTGTTAAATGTCAAAGGACCAAACATTTTTAAGCTCAGCAGATGAGGACAGGATGAGAAAAGGGCCACTTTGATCTCTGTACTGAAAATGAACCGTTCATGTCAAAACAAGTGAAGATAAATGGATAAATTAACTGGTCAGTTCTTGAATTAAAACATGAATTACTTTCCGTTTTACACTTTTGTGTCAGGACTTCAGTAAGACGCAGAAGTGGAATGCACATTGGCATTTTTGCTTTTTTAATGATGACTCTGAGGTTACCTCAGTTTCATATGGCTTGTAGAGAGGATATTGCCTGTATGTTGTGCAGATTTGTTGTAGGAAGCTTCAGTGGGTATTTTCCATTACCACTGGTGTGGTACATTGGAGCTCCATCTGTGCTGCCATCCTTGGCTAGGTGAGCAGCAGTCAGGCAACAGGAGATAAAAATAAAAACAAAATCAAACTACATCTGGAAAGAAGTGGAGAAACTAACAGGAAGAGCTTGGATAGACGTGATAAAGCAGTAATTGCAGTGGGAGAACAACTCCCTAGGAAAGGAGTTACTGTGTTTGACACAGTGATACAGCAAAATCAACATATGCAGGACCAGGGATGACTCTTTCACCTCTAACTTTCAGGCAACCATAGGTCTTTCTGAGACTTGCAGGTAGCACACAGGGTAGTAAAAGAACTGATATTATACTCGTACTGCACTTCAGGTTACTTCACCAAGGGGGTAGGAATGGGGCTTAGGGAAGAGCAACAGTCTGAAAACCAAAATGCTTATCAGCTTACTCCTGTAGTAAAAACCCCAAACAAGCCAAAATTTGAATGCATACATGCCCTATTGTAACTTAGAATGAAGGTTGCTGAGGGCCTGCCTCTCTCATCTGAAGCTAGGCTTGAACATGGAAACTGTTCTCATGCATGTAAGGTCAAGCTTTTGGGCTTTACATCTTGCAACTTTATGTGCAACTGCAATAAAAATATAAACATATGTTTGACCTGTTCCCTCTTTACTAAGCAAAATGAGCTTTCGCTGTTTGTTTAACTGAACTTAAGCGTTGCCTAGACTCATGTTTGCAACCCAGACAAAGCTCTACTGTGCTAAGTAGAAGGCATTGCAGAAAACACACCTGTCTAGGAAAGATAATGAAATTCATTTGCTAATCCTTTTACTCCAGATGACTGCAATCTACCACTTTAACAATGAGTTCAACCGCATTAAAGAAGTTTCTCCTTTTTTTTGGTTTTGTTCATTCTTTCTTCTAAGTTTAGCATTATAAACCAGTTAGGCCCCATTTGGGACAACTAGTGTTCTTGTTATAGTGACTATCCTAGATGCTAAATTAAAGGCTGAACTACAATGGCTGATACAGCAAGCGTTCTCATGGCTCAAGTAATGTTACTGTGGTTATTAGCTTTCCCTCTTAGTGAAATGTGTAGGCAGAAGGGGATCTTTATTGTCTTGTTACTACCTTTGTTCTGTGAAGGAGAGAAGAGGAAAGCTACCAGAAAGAACATGGAATTATTAAATAATCCCTAAACAAGAGGAAGAAGTGGTACAGGATATGAGGGGAGAATTTGAGACTACAGTCAATGTAGTTGAAACGCCATGGATGTTTTTTAGCTATGCCAGAAGCTGCAGAGCCTTGAGAACTTTTCTGTTGCTAGGGAGAACAGCCCTTTGTCAGTATTTACTGCCTTTTGCAGGCTCCGACACAGATCAGCAAAAGAAAACTGGTTCGTCTGTTGTTTGGTGATGAATTTTGAGAGTGCAATGGCTTGCTTGTACTTGTCTTCGGCATAATTTGCTGATATTATTTAGGCGCAGCAGCACTCTGTGCAGCTGGAAGTGGGTCAGTGTGTTTGTGTAGATCTCTTTGAGCTTAGGGGTGACAGATTCAAATGTATAGAGGACTGAGGTTATTTTTTAGTACTCGTTAAATAAAATCTAATAAAATGAATTTGGATGGAGAAGGTAAATTAACTCCTGGCTTCTGTCTTCTTCTAAAGCTATGATTCTCTAGTGGCAAAAATCTGCAAGGAACTTGCAGAAAAGGATAAAGATGAATTTTCCACTGATGGCAATTGACTGTTAAGTGGTGAGGCTGTAAATGGGAGTGATACACTTATGGCACTGGAGATGACCATGGGCTTCACCTGCTTTCATTTTTGGTGCCCAATGTAAGACAGAATAGGCCTGGTTTAGTTTGGTTTTTTTTTCCCCAGAAGTACAGAGTATTTGAATTTGCAGTCTGAGTAATGATGAGTTCATCATCCAGAAGCCAGGATAATTGGTATCAGTGGCCGCTGAAAATGTTTGCTCTAGGAAACATGTTTTCCATGTAACCTTCTTTGTAATCTTTTCAAATGGCAGCAGCTGAGCAAAATGTTGATTTTTGAAATCTATTTTACATTTACTAACTTGCATAGTGAAGTGGAATAGCTATCCTTGCATTTAGCCTGGTATTTACAAAGGTAAGGCATACTGTGTGCTCTTATATGCCTGGCATCTGTAATGAGACCTTAAGACTAAGAGCTGTTGACTAAATCTTTTCAAAACAAATGGGTCATTCGCATGAGTTCACTTGTTGTTTAAAAATAACATTATTCTGACAGGTGTTTCCAACTCAGTCCTTCCTTTCCTGGTGACAACCAGCCTGGTCTAGTAATATTTGCAATATAAGCACAATGAAAACACAGCAAAAGAATCATAAAATATCCATGTTATATGATAATATAAGCGGGGCTTGAAGTAGCTGGATGGCAGCTGGTCCTCTGTTACGGTGGGGAGAAGAGCTTCACATCCTTTCTGCTCTTGCCCTCCGAGCAGGGAATGTGGCAATGTTGCTCTGAGTCCCTTTTGACTGTCAAGACTCCACCAGAAAGGATGCTTTCTCAAGGGGACAGAGATGGAGAACAGTCTTTATTTTCTACTTGCTCTGAAGAAGACCTGGTTTTGCACCAGGGAAATGCATGAGGCATGTTTCCCCCAAATGCAAGGTCAGCAGTTTTCTTGCATTCAAGTACTTGGGTTGGGAGAGCACCTTTCAGAAGAGCTGCTGATCCACTCACTGCAGCATAGTGCCATGCCTATCAGTTGGCCAGTACCTTCCCAGCATCAAATAACCTGTAATATCAGAAACAAAATGTTCCTGTTTTCAAAACACATGAGGGGAAGTCTTTCTATCCTAGATGCTGCTAAGTTATCAACTCCTAAGGAAGCATGAAGGTGATGATAACCCCGGAGATGAAGTTTCTTTTTGGTTAAATGACTACTAAGTGAGGCTTCAACACTTCATCTTTTGCCTTTGGGATCTCATAGTGCCATGCTGACAGAGATGGCCTTTTTCATCGAAAGAGTTATCAC